TGATTAGGAAACAAAATGAAACGTGACTTACTGTGGTTTTGATATTTAACAAAGATCTGCAAATCACCTTCTTCCTTCCTGAGGCACATGTAAAATTTTGTTATTCTGAATTCTACACTGAATAATAGGAGTTTGCTATGCTATTTTTTTTGTATATTGAAATGCCAGAGCAGATTCAGCTATGTGAATGGTGGAGACTTCAGCTGTCTGTCTGCTCTAGCTGAAAAGCAGGTCTTCATTTATTGAAAGCAAAAAACTGCCAAAGACTTTCATAAAAAAACTACATAAAAAATTTTGCTTCTGAAAGTCAGCTTAAACAGTGCAAGTCCCTGTCTCACTGTGCTGGTTGTGCTGGACTGATATTTCTAAGCAAGGATGAACTGACCAGGGATGTGTAGGGACAGCCTTGGCTGTAGCAGCTATGAGACTGGAGTTTAGGATACTGAGAGGAAGGAAAAAAAGCACAGATTATGACTGCAACCTCCGACATCAGGAGAACAACCTTTGACTTGGTCATGGACCTGCTTGGAAGAATCCCATGGGATTCAGCCCTGGTAAGAAGAGGGGTCCAGGAGACATTAGGGGTCCTTGAGCTTAGGTTCAAAGGCTCGAGATTAGGCTAAGTAATCCCCCAAATTCCCCTCCAAACCTAATGTTTTCTATGATGCTATGTGTATTTATGTGTAAGCAAACAAATTTTATCTCTGTTCCAGTCTTACAAATGTAGCAAATGAGATGAAGCATTGCCATGAGTATTTAGTTCTTGGCAACATCACTATAGGCACCCAAACTCCAAGGAAGAGGCCTCTTGTAAATACGTCTCACCCTGAGTGTCCAAATCTGTCATTGGCAATACACTATTCATGTCGATAATGGGTATACTGGAGTTGTTCTGTTGGCCCCAGAAGTCCCTTTTGTGCCTGTAGCTCAGTCTATGAGCTGCAAATATGGGGAACCCTGATTTTTCTGTATGGCTGTGTTTGATGAAAAATACTTTCACCCCTAAAACTAGCAGTAAAGTTGCATCTTTTTAAATGTGAAAGCCTCTTTATGGCTGATGCCTTTGCACATCTTTGGGGCTGGTATCAGTGATATAGAGAATAAAGAGAAACTGCCCCCTTTGCAAACCTAAACAGCCGAAAGCCACCATCACTACAAATTCAGCACTTCCTGGTACACAAATATGAATTTGTTGCTTATTTAAATAAAAAACATCTTCTTGGTCAAAGAGGTACCAAAATATAGGGGAGTCAGCTACTAAGGCAAGGATGTTCAAATACAATAAACCTTGTAACATCAAATTTCCCAATTGGGCTTCCACCTTTCGCACCATAAAGTTCAGTTTGCTCAGGCGGTATAACGTATAGCTGAGAGAGTCATCTGTAACTCTCACGTACAGCCTCTGTATGACAGTCTGAAGGCTTCCAGTGGAGAGAGATGCAGACAGGAATCTTGTAAAACGAGAGGGTAAGCTGAAAGGGAACAAAAAAAAAAAAAAAATATGAGGGTGCAGGAAAGCTGGATTCACCTAGCAGTATAAAACACAGCATTTTCTGAAACATGCAGGACCAAAGTAGATACACTGCTATAACTCCACTGACTTCAGGGAGGGCTTAACCTCTCAGGTTTGGATCTGAATTTGAAACTCCCAACATGTAGACTGTGTTTGGCCCAGTGTTTCAACAGTTGTCATTTATAGGTGAGAGTAGAAGAGAGATGCAACATCAAGGAGCGCTTAGTATAGAAATTCATTCCTGGCCCCTCTCTGTGTGAATCCAGTTTGATCACTGTATTTCTGCAATGGAGAAAAATAAAATCCCTTCTAAAAAGTTATCCCAAGCAGAGACTTTTTTTTTTTTATGAGATTAAAATTGACTTGTTTATCTACATCTACAAACATAGGTCAGATCTAAATCTGTCTAGCCTTCCCTTCCTCTTGCTTCTTTCTGAGATTGTTTCTTAGGTTTAAATAAATAAATAAATGAAAAAGTAAGCTCTGACTGAGAAAAGCTACCAATCTCCCAAGAAGCTATTTAGTTCAAATCTTAGTGTGAGCCTTTCTGTTTTGTTTTAAATATACCCTTAGCAGACTTTACTCCTGAAGATGTAGAAGAAAATTGTCCTGCAAGCTCACTTTATTTTTCAGAGAGCTTTTTGGTTTGATTCTCCTGTTCCCCAAATCACATCTTTTGGAAACAGATTAGAATTCATGACAATAAGATGATGCCTCTGTCTAAGCCACAGAGAAAATGAATATAGTTGCTACAGAAAATAAGTCCTGTTTTGTTTAACCAACTGCAGATCCTTTTGGGAAGACAGATGAGAGAGAGCCTCTTACGAATGCAGTCAGAAGTGATTCAGCTGTGATTGGAGGTAATTTTATTTTTAAAGATTACAACTGAAAAATAATTCTGTCAAGGGAAAAATCTAGGGTCCTTTAAATGTGGGCCACATAAAATCTGGTCCAAGTTTTTTGTAATCTAATGCAGGTCTAGTATTTGCTGTATTTATTAGCACATATCTGTATCAAGGTACTTAGATAGGCACCTGCATTATAGATGAAGCCATCAGTGACAGCACATGATGTTGGATATCACCCAAAAAAAGTATTTTCAAGAACCTCAGTCCTCCAAAATGTAACTAAAATCTGTCTATTCTGAGTGCTTGAGCAGGGCATTTGGACAGAATGACTTCTAGAGGTCACTTCCAACGTCTCTCATTCCATGTGATGCTGTGATCTGAGACACAGCTCACTAGTATCTATTCTATACATCACTTCCATGGGAGTCTCAACACAGTATTCACACGTCCTGTATTTTCTGAGCTCTCTCTTTCCAAGATGTTGGTGTAGTGGAACTCACTAGTTCATATGGAGGCATTTATATACTATGGAACGCTGTCCTCATAGCTTCATGCATGATTTTCAGTTTCCTTTAGCAACCTGGGAGGCACTTTAGCTCTGTTTATTTTATAGGATGCCCTGTAGGGAGCTGCCTTTGATAGTATCTAGAAGCTATTATCCAAAGTGTACAAGTCTCATTCAAGGTTTCCAGAGATAACACAGAAGAAAATACAAAAGAGCAGGAATATGAGTGAGCATACAGATCTAGGTTTTTTTTTTTTTTAAAAAAAAAAAAGGAACACACTGGCCCAACTTTACTGCTAGTTAAAACAGAATTTGACTGAAATTAGAAGTCAATTACATCAGTGCTTGCTGCTTTAGGTCTTACTTAAGGTGGCAAATTAGAAATAAAGAGAACCAGGGAGAGTGTAATAGTCAGAAGATTGTGTACAAACTGATGAACTGCTCGTCATATCAATTAGTTGTGCATTGGTAATGTATTTTTGAAGTAAATTTTGAGGTGAGGTAATTTTGGGGTTTGGTTATGGCTTTTACTCTTTTTATTCTTTCTTTTTTACCCCTCTTCAGGTATAATTGCAGTTGTGATTTTCATCATCTTTTGCATCATTGCCATCATGAGCAGATTACTCTATCAGCACAAACAAGCACATCGAAGTAGCCAGACAAAGGCGAAGGAATACCCAGAAAACCTCGAGAGCTCCTTTAAAGCTGACATTGACTTGCAGAACACAGTGAGCGAGTGCAAACGGGAATATTTCATCTGATGGACACTGCAATTTCTTCTTACTCTTACTCCCCTAACCTTCCTCCCTTTATTCCATTTTTCTTCTTTTTTTTTTTTTTTCTTTTCGTAATTTTCTTTTAAACGTTCTTTTTTTGCTAACTTCTTTTTCTTTTGGAAAAGACCACCCTGCACAGGAAACACTCACAACAATCACGGTGCCTCATTCTCTGCACAAGAACCTGGCAGCCACAGTTCACTTATGCAGCTCAAGAGACCTGTTATCCCACCCTACACACAAAAAAAAAAAAAAAAAAATCCACATGCACACTTGATTTCTGCTGTGGGTTCCTGGATATTTCAATGTTCCTAAGTTTATTTCTGTTTTTCTCTGGAGTCATTTAATTCATCACTTTGACATTAGAGCTGGACTATGTAAAGTAGGGGTAAAGTAGTTGAACACTTAGCTCTACAGATACTGGGACAGGATAGAGGGAAAGAATGAGACCAGAATGCCTGATTTAATTTACAGGTGTATTTACAACAACCATAAAGAACTGGCCAAATTCTCAAATGATATGGATTGATATATATATCTATTGATTTCAATGGTGTTACATTAATTTATACAGTTGAGAAGCTGGTATGAGATAAGGAAAAATAAAACTGTCCTCATTAAGCTCCTTCCTCAAACCTCCTGTCCTTTTACTGTAACTTTTAGGCTTATCAGTATTTTTCCAACAATATATGTATCAACAATAAATGTCATTTCTGTGCACCTCTTTCATCTCCATCTCATAAGGCTGGCTATGTAGACCAAACATACTCTAGTAACTTTAGCTGAAGCATGGAAAATAGTAGCTTGAATCTGCAAGGGTTTTAGGAAGCTGCTAGGATTTAGGTGCTCTATGTTTGTCTGAAATGTTATAAATGCAGCATATAGCTGTTCATGCCATATGGACGATTATTATGCACTGAGTGCCACTGTGGCAAAGAAAAGTACATAGACAAGGTAAAAAAAAAAGAAAAAACACACCCAAAACAAACCAGAAATAGTTCAATCTTAAACATGAGTCACACATTCTGCCAGTTCTTCTAAAAGAAAAAAATCCAACAACTCATACCCCCCTTACAAACTGCATGAAAAATTGATTGGTATTTCCTGTTCATAGAAATTGGAATATCTTCTCCAAAGCTAAATAGAGAGAGGTCTCATGTCGTGTCTAAAAAGTTTAATATTTAATCAACCCTGTTTACAGGGCTGAACATTAGGGAAACAAGTATAAAAAGGTCCTAAATACTCTACTTTAAATTAATCTCTCTCCTGTTTTTCTAATGTCTTCTGTCCTTTCCTTGTTGGGAACAATACTTGAAGACTAAAATCTTGCCCATTTTACTTGTGCTGCACGGTTTCAGTGTGAGGCTGAAAAACTTGTTTTCAGTCACAGACATCCTAAGGGTAGGAAATTGAGAACTCCCACCAAGGGAGGCTTTCCACACCCTACTTGTGCCTGTGTGACATACTGACTTTGCAGGGCTTCTGAAGACTATGTATAATTTGCTGTCAGACTTGAAAGTTTCTGACAGGAGTTGAATCAGCCCAAAGCTAAGAAAAAAACCAAAAACATATTGCTGCACTTTTGATAAGAATTAATTCAAGACAATTAATTGTGCAGCTGAATCTCTTTCTTTGCCCCCTATACCCTTCTGCAGTCATCCTGGGGTTTCCACATAGTGTTTCTTTTTACATAGATTAAAATCAAAGAATCACAGTATGAGGTAATAACCTAAAGCAAACTAGAGATGAGATTACACATGCAAAAGGTGATATTTTTCCACACAGTGCACTGCAAAGGTAGATAGCTTGTTAGTTATTTATTTTTTTTTTTTTTTTTTTGTGAGAGGAAGGGACAGACAAGGAAGAATAAATAACTGACAGTTTGGATATGGTGATTCTTCACCTATTCTTTTGGAAGACTTTATGAGAAGTAGCATCTGGGATTGGTGATGAGAAAACAATCTTGGAATGATATCGGTCTCAGGTGAAGAGTAATACGTGAGACCAGCCCTGTAACCAGAACTCTAACTGAGTAATTTCATAAAACCATTTATACTGAAATTAGTATTGAGGCCATTCTTCCTTGACCGTGGTCTACAACAGCCCTTTTGTCTCATGCTGGCTGTTTGCATGATACGTGATTACTGGAGAGTTATTTCTGCATGATGAGATGTGTGATGATGGACTCATTAGCTGTTCATCAGCTCATTAGCTGTTACATTGCTTTATCTTTTGCAGTGAAATACTGGCAAAACAATTCTCTTTTCTCCCTCCCTCTCCTTTCATCCATTCCTTCCTTTTCCTTCCTTCCTCCTTTCTTCCTTCCCTCCCTCCCTTCCTTCCTTGCAGGTAAAGCTGCTTTGTTTGGCATGCTGGGAGGAGAGAAATACGTGGGCACAGGGGCTCCTCTGCCCAGATTGGAGTCACCTTGTCTGAAATGTCCTCTGTATGAGACATCTCTCTAGTCCTAATGCGCTTAATTGGCTTTATGAAGAATGGAATAGGAAGGAGGGGAAAGCCCACAGGTGTATTTTTCTCTAGCCAAACTAACAGATAGAAATTACCGTTCTGCTTTCCTACACGTTAGTTTCCAGGAATAAAATTACTACAAATGCAACAACAAAGTGCAAAACAGCTCCAGCAGTCACATAAATGGGAGAGGGAGACTGAGCAAGGAAACAGTTCTCAAGTGACTAAATTATGTTCAGCCATCTTAGGGCCTGATTCTGCAAGATGCTGAGCTTTCTCAGGGAGGATCAAATTCCCATCACCAAATGTAGATATTAGTGTTGCTGCAGACATTTCAGATGCAACTTAGTGGCCACAGAGCAGGTGTAGTGGCATGCTGTGCTCAAGCCCACACCTGGCAGAACAGTGTAAGGAGTTTGTTTTTTCCATTTTTCCATAAAATGTCAGGATTTCTTTTAATGGAAAACTTGTGAGCATCAAAAAGTTGTTTGCCAGCGTTGTTTGGGTTTTCTTCCTTCTCCCAGTTTCATAACAAAAGGAAGTGGGTGGTAGAAGGATATCCAGTCTCTTTTTTTTTTTTTTTTTTTTTTTTCTCCTAGTGATATGTTTTCTGACCTCTGTTATCACTAGGTAGGGGTTTTTAGGCTAGGAAACTTCTAAGTCACTTAGATGTGGATTTGAACACTGCAAATTCCTGTTTTCCAGAAATGACTTGGCCAATAAGAGCCATGCCTAAAAGATACTTATTCATGCAAAGTCTGCATTGGATGCCTAAAAGGACTGTCGGAGAACTTGGTGTCTGGCTATAGAAAACAAATTAAGTCTGTCTATCAGAAAGCTAAACCCCAGTACCTTCCAGTGAGACATCGTCTGCCTCCTGAGTGAACCGTGGGCTTTCAAAGGCATTTATTCTCATGAGGATGTGAATCAATGCTTAAGTGACTAAACAAGATGAGCACTTGACTCATTAACTTCAGCTGGATTTGTGCTTCTACCTTGCTATGAAATGTTTTTAAATGCTACAAGATATTTAAATACCTTTGAAAGTTGAGTCTCATTTTTCTTTTGGAGATAGTACACTGGTCCTAAGTCAGTCACATGTGTAATTTGTAGTATTTCATTTGTCCTTATTCCTCTACTAGAGACAAGGGTGTGTGAGTGTTTTGAGTAAATTTTTAACATGTACTTTTATTTATTTTTCTTATTCTTGCCCTGGCACAGCACTTAGGGTAAATCTGTGGTGAAAACAAAGCCAAACAAAAAACAGGCTGTTAACTCACATTGGCTATCAGGATTCTCATCTGGGTAAATGTGAAAAGAAGCCATTTAGAAACATTTATCAGATTGTGTTCAGTCATGAGATTCCCCTGATTTTATCTTAAAAATCATAGCCAAAAATACAAATATGAGGTGCTTTCTCTCTGTGTTATTTTAACCTGATCTAGCCAGACTTAACCCATACTATTTAGCAATTGCTCAGTTTTTACAGTGTAAGCCAAATCCTTATTTTAATGGGATGTTTGTCTATACTAGTATTTAGCTGATCACATATTTCACATATTGGGTGAGAAGCAATCAATGCATCATATAGTTTCACTGTGGTGGGGGGTATGAATCTTTTCCTAATGAAGTCGGCTGTCAATTTTGCTGAGTATAAGATTGAGTCTTAGACCTATGGAAGCACATGAAGACTGCTTTTATCTAAGTATTTTGGGTTTCTTTCATTTTGCATTTGGTTTTTACAGGCTGTTTTATGCTTGTCATCCAGTCCTGTCCTTTGGTCAGTGAAGACAGGGTAAATGACTTGGATATCCTTTAAAATTAAATTAATCACTTTCTACATGTGCACCTTTCTCTACATTGATCAAAGAGACAGGGTAGACTCCTGGCAACAGGTTGGCTACTCCTAGCAGAATTTACCTACTTATAGGAATTTTATACTACTCTTGCAGCTCCAGAAGAAACATCTGGGTAGGTCTTAAAGCACACTTGGTTTTTTATTAAGATGTCAGCTGGGATCAAGAAGGACACCTCCTTGCACCTGAAATTACACCAGAAATCTCTGCTTAGGAAATGCATGTGTCTCCTTATAGCTGAATACATAAAAATCAGGTGTCAAAGCATCTAGCTGAGTTGTTGGCGATGCAATCAGTAATCTGTGGGGCTTTGGAGAGGATAAGTCTCCTTCCAGTCTATTCTAGATCCAAGATCCTTTGCCTTATGTGGGAGCTTTGGCAGACAGCATATGTGTAGACAGATCTACACAGAAATCATGATCTAAAGCTAGCCCAGACCCCTGAAATACTTTTCTAGCCCTGAATGTCTGGTGCCATTTGATATGAATGAGAGTATCTCTGCAGCTCCAGTAAGGATGCAAGTATCCTGTCTGTCATGTCTTGTATCTGTTAGCCCCAAGCTAACCTGATACCTGTTGGCTTTTCAAATTATATTAAGTGCCCATTCAGAACCCCAGAATTCTTAAGGAGATGAATCCCTTAAAAAAACCCAAACAAACA